GCCCTCTGGCAGGACTGGCGCTGCTCTCTGAATATGAGCCTGCACTGCTCCAGGTTCCTGCTGTGGCGTTTGGCTGAGAGGCTGGTGGCAATCCTCCCATAGATGTTGGCATTCCTCTTCTTGGTGCGGAGTTGATGGAGGTTGGACTCCACCCTCCCCACATCTTGATGAGGTCCAGGATCTCCCTAGCACTCCAGGCTTCTCTTCTGTGTCCCTGGGCAGTGGAAGCTGTGGGAATAAAAGTGCTAGCAGTCGTCAGAGTGTCTGAGGGGACATTGGAGGCGTTCATGTCTCCATATGCTGGTCACTCGCAGAGGGCTCATGAAGCTGGCCATGTGGGACATGCACTTCCCCACTTGCCAGGACTTCTAGAACACCGTGGGGAGAAGGGAGGAAGGGGAGCAGTGGAGATGCCAGGTGTGGTCAGAGCGGACAGCTGTAGAAAGCCTCCCAGAGGCCAATTAGTTTGAATTAGCGGCACCAGAGTATCTACATTACCATTATTTCAGACATACAAGGTTAGGAACAGTTACACCACATGAAAAAAAAAAAAGGATTGCAAGGCTCGAATTCTGCAGCCCCTAATTGAGGAAGTAGTGGACTTGGTAGTGTGGACACATGGCTTAGATCAGTGGTCCCCAACCCTTTGTGGCTGCCGGGTGCCCGGTCCGCTCACATGCTTGGCATCCGAGGGCGGGACCGCTCACGCGCCGCACTTCTGGGTGTGGGGCCACACATGCACCGCAAGCCCCACCCGGGGCCGGCACTGAGCATGTGCCGCGTGCCCAGTGCAGAGGTCACCCACACGCCCGGGGCCAGCCCTGCGCATGTGCCGCGTGCCCAGGGCAGGGGTCGCCCATGTGCCACACGCCTGGGGCCAGGACCATGCATGTGCTGCGTGCCGGGGGCGGGGACAGGCCAGATGTTTTGGCAGACACACATAAATGCTCCAGCAGGTGCCATGGTGCCCGCGGGCACGGCGTTGGGGACCACTGGTTTAGATAATCGATCGTGAGGGGCTATTTTTGGAATAAGGTTCTAGTGTAGACTAGGGATGTTAAATATTGGTTACTTGAACTGTTGATTAACCTCATGAATTCTTATTGGTCACTTGACTATTCTATCATTCCCGGGTGTAGGGCCGGCAGCCAGTGTGCTCTGGCCCCATTCCTGAGGTGTCCCCTGACACTCCTCACTGCTGCCTCCGATACAGAAGCAGCAGTTTGGGGTGCCAGGCGGGAGCTGGTCCACGAGGGGAGCCGGTTTAAAAACCAGCTTCCCTTGCAGACTGGCCGCCTGTCACCTCTGATACAGAGGCAGCAGCGCAGGGTGACAGCAGCCCCTGTCCAGGAAATGTCTGTGCCACAGATCAGGTGCGAGCCAGAATTGAGCCAGGCTGCATGCCTGCCTGGCTCTTCATACACTTTACCTACAGAGCTGCAGCAGGAGTAGGTCCCAAGCCCCATGCAAGCTGGGACTGAGCTGGGCTGCTGGGCCAACCTAGTAAAAAATTTACTGGCGGGGGGGGGGGAGGCAATAGCTTTAACTGATAAGCTTTTTTGCTTATGAGTTAATCAACCATACTATTACATCGCTAGTGAAGACCAGGCCCAGGTGAACAGGAAAAGCCCCGGTAAAGTCTGAATTTCATTTCCCATGTCACCAACATTGTAAGCACATCTCACAGCAGGCAGTACACATGGCCGTGACTTCCATGAATTCATGTCCCATAAAATCCAGTTCCCAGGATCACAAAAGAACACCAGCATGGAGTGTGCAGGAGATCTTGTACCTCACTGAAGTGAGGGGAAAGGAATCCATTCTCTCAGAGCACCGAGAAAGCAAATGAAATGCCAAGATCTATGCAAAGATAGCCAAGTGCATGGTGGAGAAGATATACTCCAGGGACACCCAGCAGTGCCATATTAAAATAAAAGAGCGGAGGCAGTCCTATCACAAGACAAAGCAGGCAAACCACAAACACGCACTTCTATGACTGCTGCATGCGATCCTAGGAGAGGACCAGGACAGCGGTGCAGCAGGACAGGATAGGGTGGAGGGAACTGCAAGTGAAGCATCAGGAGAATATCTTGAAGCAAATGAAGAGTATCTTTTTCGTCCCTGACAGCTGTGATGCAATGCCTGGCAGAAAGCCTGCAGAGGACCCCCCTCCCCACACACACACACTCTGTGCAGAACAACTTTCCCTCCTCATGCAATCCCACTGTGTGCACTCTCTGGGGTGGGAGGACACTCACGGGCAGCCTCACACTCAACCTCAGGAGGCAAAAGGCTCTCCTTTCGTTTCTGATCCCCTTTCCTTTTGGGTCCTACCATGGACTCATTTTCTGTCCCTATTGTCTTCCCTAAATAAAAATGCATGATTTCTATACAACAGTCTCTTCATGGTTTGTATTGCAGGGGTGGGATGGAGGATTACAGGAAAACACACTGAATGCAGAGGCAACTCGTTGAAAGCAACGTGCACAACTCTCAAAACTGGCCATTCATAAATCTTTCTTTCAAAGCTTCTCTAATTTGCACCATCCCATATTGTGCTCTCCTTATTGCCCTGGTGTCTGGCTGCTCAAAATCTCTGGGTGGGTGCTCTGTCTCAGTCTCCCACCCTGACAGATAACTTTCCCCCTTACTCTCACAAATATTACGGAGCACACAACAGCTGCCACCACAAAGGGAATGTTGTGTTTGCTGAGGTCTAATCTAGTTAGTAGACTCCTAAACCTTCCCTTTAAATGCCCAAAAGCACATTCAACCGCCATTCGGCACTTGCTAGGCCTGTAGTTGAGCTGCTCCTTACTGGGGTCCAGGCTGCCCATGTACGGCTTCATGAGCCACGGAAGCAAGCGGTAGGTTGGGTCGCCAAGGATCACTAGCGGCATTTGCATGTCTCCAATTCTAATTTTCCAGCCTGGGAGAAAAAGTTCCAGCGCGCCTCTTTCTGAAGAGGCACGAGTTCCTAAAGATGCATGCATCATGCACTAGACCCAACTATCTCACACTGATGTTGGTGAAATGGCCTTTGTGATTCACCAGCGCCTGCAGCACCATCGAAAAGTACTCCTTGTGATTTATGTACTGCTTGTCAAGGTGATCAGGGCCAAGATGGGGATGTATATTCCGTCTATCACCCCACTGCAGTTAGGGAACCCCATCACAGCAAAGCCATCCACTATGGTATCCATATTTCCCAGAGTCACTACCCTCCCTAGCAGAATGGTATTGATTGCCTTGGCTATTTGTATAACAACACTGCAGATTTCCCCACTCCAAATTGATTCCCAACTATCCAGTAGCTGTGTGGCTTTGCAAGCTTCTACAGGGCAATTGCCACACACTTCTCCACTGTCACAGTAGTCTCGTTTGGGTGTCCCTGCATTTCGAGGAAGGGGAAAGCCATTTGCAAACTTCCATGAATGTGGCCTTGTGCATTCAAAAGTTTTGCAGCCACTGCTGATTGTGCCATACCTGAAGCACTATGCAGGCCCACCAGTCTGTGCTTGTCTCACAGCACCAGAACTGGTGTTCCACTGTTTCTAGAGGATCAAATGCTGGCTGCACTTCCAAGTTGCTGAATGCAAGGGCTTGCATGTATAGTGTGCCCATGGGACCCCAAGATGGAGGAAATTCCTCCTCATCCTCCTTGTGGAGTGACATGCTTGTTTTCTTGACATGTTACAGCTCTGCAACACGAGACAGGACCGAGCCCCCTGGCTCTCAAAATCCTTTCAATGCAGAACTGTAGCAGGGGTAGCTGCCAGGACCCGGCACGATCTGGGACTAAGCAGTGTGCCTGCTGGCCAGCTCTCAAAATCCTTTAAATACAGAGCTGCTTATTGGTTTATTGTGTAAATGACATTTTTTATTGGCTACACAATTACCAAATTACATGCTTCCTAATATCCCTAGTAGATATGGGCTAAAACAAAACAAGTTTGTTTATCTATACAGGAGATAAAGCTGCCCGTGTTTTATTTACAATGTCATCTGAAAGTGAAAACAGGCATTCGGATGGCACTTTTGTAGTCAGCATTGCAAGGTTGATGGAAATTCTATTGACTACTCAATTAGCTGGTAATCAAAATTTAACATCGCTATATAGGACTCAACCCAAGGTTTAAAGAATCTGAAGCACCTTCTAAAATCTGACAGGTATGAGGTAAGGAGCATTCTTTCAGAAGTCTTAAAAGAGTAACACTGATATGGAAACTACAGAACCTGAACCACCAAAAAAGAAAATCCATCATTTTGCTGGTGGTGAAAATGATGATGAAAATGAACATATGTCGGTCTGCTCTGGTTTGGAATGTTATCGAACAGAACTCATCATCAACGTGAACACATGTCCTCTGGAATGGTGGTTGAAGCATGAAGGGACAGAAGAAACTTTGCAGTGTAATTCAACAGTGCATGTGAACAATTGTTCTCATTTTTCAGGTAACATTGTCTGAGCACTTGGTTGAACAGCAGGACTGAATGGACTTGTAAAACACTAAAGCCTACATTGTTTTATTTCTGAATGCAGTTTTTTATATCTAATTCTACTTTTGTAAATTCAACTTTTATGATAAAGAGAATGCTCTATACTACTTATATTAGGTGAATTGAAAAATATTATTTCTTTTATTTTTAGGGTGCAATATTTGTAATAAAATATAAAGAGAGTACTGTTCACTTTGTATTCTATATTATAATTGAAATAAATATATTTGTAGATGTAGAAAATATCTAAAATATTTAAATAAATGATAGACTATTATTGTTTAGCAGCAAAATTATTGGCAATTAATTTGTTTAATTGCTTGGTTACTCTAATTTTAACATACTGATGATTGGTGCTCCAAGCAGATGCAGATGCAAGATTGAATATGGACAGCACATCAAAAATTCACATAGCCTGAACTATATTTATCTGCATGTGTAATCCAACATGCATCAAGTCTTCAGTCAACAATGCATAAACACAACAAATACATACTTACTTGCTTCTACAAAAGCTTTCAAGGCTTCTAGTTGTTCCACTCCTGACAGTTGAATTGCTTTTTCCAGTATCTGACGATATCTGCCCATAGATTTAAAATTAAAAATGTATCACAATTAATATCCTTTTATTTAAATATCCCCCGTGGCATATGCATTTACATGGCTGCAGCTTTTTTCCGGCTCTGGGTTTTTGCCGGAGAAAAGCGCCAGTGTAGACGCTTGAAAGTAGGAATAAGGGATCTTCCGGAAAAGGGCTTATTTTCCGGAGAATCGCGTCTACACTGGCGCTTTTCTTCGGCAAAAACCCCAAGCCGGAAAAAAGCGGCAGCCATGTAAATGCAAAAGGCACAGAGGATGCTGCAATTCCCAAGTGTCTCATTAGCATCCCTTTTCTGGAAAGGGGTGCCAATGTAGACACAGCCTTTATGTTTGGTGGTGTTTTTTAGGGCTTTCCCCAAGAGACCCTGCTGCATAATACCAACGGCGCAGAAAATACGAGATTTTTTAAAAGGAATTTAAAGATCGGACGCCTCTCTCCGTACAATTGCTCTGGCTCTAGAAAAAGACACAATGGGCCTCAGATGGGTTCTTTTGTCTTTCAAGCCCAAGGCTCTGGGAACACCGACTGTTCTGAAACGGACAGTTCAGCACCAGCCTGCAGCCTCTGCA